TTTGGAAGGTGGCCGGGGAGTTCGTGAGACCAAAGCACATGACCAAGGGCTCGTACAGTCCACGGTTCGTGCGGAACGCAGCCTTCCACTCGTCACCCTCTTTGATCCGTACGTTATTGTATCCCCATCGGATGTCGAGCTTGGTGAAGAACTTGGCGCCGCATAGATTATGGACCAGCTCGGAGATCAGTGGCAGCGGGTATCGATTTCGGATCGTCATCTCGTTCAGCTTCCGATAATCCTGGACGGGACGTAGCGAACCATCTTTCTTTTTGACGAAGAAGAATGCTGAGGCCATGGGTGATTTTGATGGCCTGATTCGTCCGCTGGCCAGGTTCTCTTGTAAGAACTCGTCGAGTTTGACCTGCTCGTTTCGTGATAGCGGGTACACCTTGCAGTCCACTGCTTTGGAACCGGGTTTGAGCTCAATCGCATGATCCCAGGTTCGTCGGTCCGGTAGTGAGTCGAATGATTCCTTGGCAAACACTTTGACGAATTCCCGGTATTGATCCGGAATTTTCCCTTCGGTCATCCTCTCCTTCTCTTTTTCCACTTCTTCTGCGAATTTCTGCGCCGGTGTTTCCTTCAGCCGTAGATCCACCTCTTTTCCAAAGTCGATCAGCAGGATCGATTCTCCCTCTTCCAGATCCGGTGCGCTCGTGTCCAGGTCGATTGCATCCATGTCAATCATCGCTTGGTGTTCCTCGTGACCCCTCATGTGACACCGTTCTGGGCATCGGCTGAATCTCATTGTCTGCTCCTGCCAGTCCACCTCGGGGTTGTGTTCCATCAGCCAGTCAAGACCAATGAAGATCCGGGCCTTCCCCAAGCACGTCAGAAGGAACGTGCGTGTCTCCACGTGAGGACCGATTCTCATCCTTAGGTCAACGTAATGCGTGATCCGGCCGCTGATGTTTTCGGTGTTGTCGGCGTTACGAGCCACAATGGGTTGGGGAAGTTCTTGGATGTCCAGCTTTTCTGCCCGCGCGTAATCGGTATCGATACAGCAGGTGCTACAGCCACTGTCGAGTAGCGCCTTAACTCCGCGCGTCTTTCCTGAGTCCAGGCCTGTGATCTGGACATATACGTCCATCGAATGTCTCTTCCTTTCGGCCTGGTAGTTGCGCAATTCCTGCGCCAGTCTGCTGGGCTGGGGGCCCTTCTGTTTCTCGGCCGCCAATTTCCTTTGAACGGCATCTGGCACCCTTGTGCGTTTGGGTACTTCTGGAACCTTGATTTCGGTAGATTCCTTGGGCGCTTCCTCCTTTTTCAAGGATTGAGCCTCTGGAGCGATGCTCCCCTTTTTGGTCTTTGTTGACGTGGTTCCTTCTCCACGAGCCATAAATACGTAGGAGTCCAAAATTAATTTATCCGCAGCTTTCTGATCCTTTTTACTTTGTAAATACTCTCTATTTAAAACTATTTTTCTTTGTCGTTCCTTTTCCATATCAGCAATGAGAAAATCATGAATATTGGTACGTAATGAGTCCGAGATTGTATATGTATGTGTAGAATCGTTCATGTCTTTAATCGAAACAAGTACAGAAAAACGTCCATAGTCCGGACGCTCCACCTCCTTGGCTAGAGGAGTGGAGCGCTTCAAAAACCCTTCTCGCGCAGCTTCTCGGCGATCTCCTTCAGGAACTCGTTGTCCTTGTCCCCATTCTCGATTTCTTCTAGCATTGTGGCCCGATTGAAGAACGTGCGCTTCTTCTTGGGCTCAGGGCAGTTCCGCGCAATGTGCCCAGGCTGCTGACAGTTGTAGCAGATGATGTTGCGGCCACGGGCGTGGGTGCGATCGATCTCCATCGGAACCGGCTCATTGGCCGCTGGTCGGGCCGGAGCGGGTGCAGGTGCTGATGGTGCAGCCTGAGGACGGAATTGGGGTGGGGGCCGCGGAGTTGAGTGTGCATAGGATGCCTTACGCAGCTGATCGCGCAAGGCATTGGCCTCGATGTTGACGCACCAGTTCTTGAAGGCACCATATGCCTTGGGCAGGGGAACGCCGGTGTTGTAGAGGCGGCTTGCAATTTCGCTGCTGAGTCCGCGCTCGAGGAACTCGATGAGGATGTTGTCCTGATCCCCCTTCTTGTACTCGCCCTTGTCATCGGTTGAGGCGACCACGTTGTACCCCGCGTCCGCAGCTAGCATTTCGAAGTCAGAGATGTAGTCCGCGAAGGACCGTCTCCCCTGGCAAAGGGCCATGAGTCGGGCAGCGGCGACTTGTTCTGCGTTAGAATCCCCAAAGGCCTTTTGGAACTCCTCCAAGAAGGTTGTCGCGGTGACTCCCGCCTTCATTCCTTGGAAACCCTCGAAATTGTGCTGCTTCCAGTTCATCGCCCATCTCGAGGCGGCGCAGCTTGTGCCGGTCTCATTACGGAGGTAGGACAGAACAAAGAGGATTTTTGTCTCATCCAGCGAGAACTCCGATCGATAGGCACCGATGTAAGTGGTGCACGCGTCCACAAAGCCCAGGTATTTGGACTTGTCGCCATCGAAGTAGGGGGGGTTGGCAGCAAGGGTGATGCGGTGATGTCCTGACATGGTAGGAGCAGGTACGGTAGGTGGGGGCGAGGGTGGTTGTTCGGAGGGTAACTTGCCGAGGTCGGGGAACTCGTCTTCAGGCGGCGGGAGGGCGAGGTAGGGGTTGGAGGGTCGGGGTTCGTTTTGATGCGCCAGATCGGGCGACGATGGTATGATGGGGGGAGGGGATGGGCTCCCAGATGACGATGGGAATCGGTACAAAATGGTGGATTCGTGTGCTGTACAAGCACTCGAGGAAAGGTTCTTTTGCTAGCAAAAAGATCCCGGGCCTAGCTCTTCACGTGCCCGATGATCCCGAGGTGCGTTTTCCCGAAGGTCTCCGCAGCACTCCTTGTAGCTACCGTAAGGCTTGGGTCGGGCTCAACGTTACCCGTGGCCTGGTGCTGTTTGCTCGATATGAACCTTTCACTGCGATCGCAGCAAGCGACTAGATGATTCGGTAAAAGGGTGAGTGGGGTGATAAGGGTGAAGAGGATATAGCGGGCGTAGCGGTGCACGGAGCAGGGTAGGAGGTAAGAGGTACGAGGGTATGAGGGGAGTCTTCGAATTATGTGACAATCAACCCAAAAACAAAGTCGAAAAGAGAAATGAATTCGAAGACTGGAGAATACAACAAAGTAGCTACAGTATTTATACCCAAATCCAGTCTGAGTCATATCTACAACTAATGAGTCATAGGGCTATGTACCGCATGGAGCACTGGTCATGGGTTGTAGTAGAACCTTCCGGAGCATATGTCGCGCAGCCTCGAATCGATAGAGTTAACCCCTGGAACCCCTAGCCCGGACCGTCTGATGCCGTGATCCGTGATAAGATAAGTCGTGCCAAGATAAGATAAGATCGTCGATGATAAGATGAAAAAGAGTCGGATTATGACACCACACATGAATTGCGTCATACCTGTTACTGACCAGAAAGGGTCTGATTTGCTCCATGGAGATGATTTCCCATGGTGCATTTGGAACTGCATGTGGGTGCAGAGTTCCTGTCCTTGCTCTTCTGGTCTTGGTCCATTGGCACGCCTCGCACGTCTGGATGTATTTCCGAATTTGGTTCCCCATCCTTGGCCACCAGTAATTCCTTTCCACCATCTCCTGCGTTTGGTTGATCCCAGCGTGCCCAACCAAAGGTGTGTTGTGGTGTAGCCCAATGATCTTGTCCCGTCGCTCCTCGTCCCTCGGTACATAGAGCTTCCCATGATACATGATAAGCCCATCTTCCTTTTTCCATCCGACAAGTGACTTCTCCAAGGCCGCCTTGACACTTCCATCAATTGATCGAAGGGCCTTGATCTCATTGATCAGCTGCTGATCTTGCCCTTGGAATGTGACTTCTTGTGATCGGAAGAATTCGGGCTTCAGCAAAGTGACATCCTTGTTGTCATTCTTGCCCTGATTGTGATCCGCTCATTGAGATAAGAGATCCGCCTTGCGGTTGAGTGCGCCAGGCTGGTGTCGTAAGGTGAAATCAAACTCTGCCAACTCCGTAATCTATTGTGCTTGCCGTCGGTTGAGTTTCTGCAGCTTCCGGAAGTACTCAAGATTCTGATGATTGGTGAAGATCTCGAATGTTTCTGTGGCTCCCAGTAGTAACTGCCTCCATTCGTCCAATGATAGCATGATTGCAAGCATTTCTTTGTCGTAGATCTCGTAATTTCACTCGGTTTTGGTCAATGCGTGCAAAATAAATGCGATTGGGCACCAAATGCCGTCTTGGTCTTGGCTCAAAACAGATCCTGTTGCCCCTTCCGAAGCATCGGCTTCCAGACGATATTGGCTGATGTCATTTGGTAGTGCTAAGACCGCATCTTCCACCATTCTCATCTTCAATCCATCAAAAGTTGCATGCTCATCCATACCCCATGACCATCCTGCCTTCCCTGTCAGCTGTGTCAATGGCTTGGCAACCTCCGCATATCCCCGGACAAAGTGTTGATAGAAGTTTGTGAACCCTAGGAAAGCTTGCACTTGTTTGACGCTCTTTGGTTCCGGCCATTCCATCACGCCCTTGATCTTGACTGGGTCCATCCGCATTGAATTGTGTCCAATAATCACACCCAAATATTCGATTTCTGTGCGTTCAAACTCGCACTTCTCGGGTTTCAGGTACAACTTGTGTTTTTGGAGCAATTCGAGTACTTGTTTTGTGATCTGCCGATGTTCGTCCAAGGTTTCTGTGAAGATCAATATATCGTCAAGATAAACTACCACGTGACCCTCGTTGATCAGTTCTTGGAGTATGTTGTTCATCATGTTTTGGAAGGTTGCCGGGGAATTTGTGAGACCAAAGAACATAACTAAGGGCTCATACAGCCCACGGTTTGTGTGGAACACAGCCTTCCACTCGTCGCCCTCTTTGATCCGTACATTGTTGTATCCCCATCGGATGTCTAGCTTCGTGAAGAACTTGGCGCTGCAAAGGTTATGGACTAGTTCGGAGATCAGCGGTAGCGGGTATCAATTTCGGATTGTCATCTTGTTCAGCTTCCAATAATCTTGGACAGGACGTAGCGAGCCATCTTTCTTCTTGACAAAGAAGAATGCTGATGCCATGGGTGATTTTGATGGCCTGATCTGTCCACTGGCCAGGTTTTCCTGTAAGAACTCGTTGAGTTTGACCTGCTTGTTTTGCGATAACGGGTACACCTTGCAGTCCACTGCTTTGGAACCAGGTTTGAGCTCAATCGCGTGGTCCCATGTTCGTTGATCCGGCAGTGAGTTGAACAATTCCTTGGCAAATACTTTGACAAATTCCCGGTATTGATCCGGAATCTTCCCCTCTGTCATTCTCTCCTTCTCCTTTTCTGCTTCTTCTGCAAATTTCTGTGCCGGCGTTTCCTTCAGCCGTAGATCCACTTCCTTCCCAAAGTTGATCAACAGGATCGATTCTCCCTCTTCCAGATCCAGTGCACCCATGTCCAGGTTGATTGCATCCATGTTGATCATTGCTTGGTGTTCCTCGTGACCCATCATGTGACACCGCCCTGGGCATTGGCTAAATCTCATTGTCTGCTCCTGCCAGTCCACCTCGGGGTTGTGTTCCATCAGCCAGTCAAGACCGATGAAGATCCGAGCTTTCCCTAGACACGTCAGAAGGAACGTGCGTGTCTCCACATGAGGGCCGATTCTCATCCTTAAGTCAACGTAATGCGTGATCCAACTGCTGATGTTTTTGATGTTGTCTGCATTACGAGCCACAATGGGTTGCGGGAGTTCTTGGATATCCAGTTTCTCTGCCCGTGCATAGTTGGTATCAATGCAACAGGTACTGCAACCACTATTGAGTAGCGCCTTGACTCCGCGCGTCTTTCCTGAGTCCAGACCTGTGATCTGGACAAATACATCCATTGAATGCCTCTTTCTTTCGGCCTGGTAACTGTGAGATTCCTGCGCCAATCTGCTGGGCTGGGGGCTCTTCTGTTCCTCAGCTGCCAATTTCCTCTGGACAGCATCTGGCACCCTGGTACATTTGGGTGCTTCTGGAACCTTGATTTCGGCAGATTCCTTAGGCGCTTCCTCCTTTTTCAAGGATCGAGCCTTGGAGCGATGCTCCCCTTTTCGGTCTTTGTTGATGTGGTTTCTTCTCCACGAGCCATAAATACGTAGGAGTCCAGAAATAATTTTTCTGCAGCCGCTGTCTTCTGATCCTTTTTATCTTGTAAATGTTTTCTATTTAGAGCTATTTTTTCCTTGCGTTCTTTTTCCATCTCAGCAATGAGAAAATCGTGAATATTGGTACGTAGTGAGTCTGAGATCATGTATGTATGAGGGATATTGTTCATATCTTGTTCATATCTTTAATCAAAACAAGTACAGAAAAACGTCCACAGTCTGGACGCTCCACCTCCTTGGCTAGAGGAGTGGAGCGCTTCAAAAACCCTTCTTGTGCAGCTTCTTGGTGATCTCTTTGAGGAACTTGTTGTCCTTGTCCCCATTCTCGATCTCTTCAAGCATCATGGCCCGATTGAAGAACATGCACTTCTTTCTTGGCTCTGGACAGTTCCGCGCGATGTGCCCAGGCTGCTGACAGTTGTAGCAGATGATGTTGCAATTGCAGCTATGGGTACAATTGATCTCCATCAGAACCAGTTTATTGGCAGCCAGTCAGGCTAGGGCAGGTGCAGGCATTGCTGGTGCAGCCTGAGGACGGAATTGTAGGGTGGTTGTTGCATGGGATGTCTGCAAGATGCTTTGCATAGCCAGTTGTGCAAGGTGTTAGCCTTGAAATTGACACACCAGTCCTTGAAGGCACCATACACCTTGGGCAAAGGGACACCAGTGTTGTAGAGGTGGCTGGCAATCTTGCTGCTGAGTCCGCACTCAAGAAACTTGATGAGGATGTTGTCCAGGTCCCCCTTCTTGTACTTACCCTTGCTATCAGTGGTTGTGACCACGTTGTATCCTGCATTCACAGCCAACATTTCAAAGTCAGAGATATAGTCCGCAAAGGACCACTTGTTTTGTTGCTGGGCTATGAGCCAAGCAGCAGCTGCTTGGTCCGCATTGGATTCCCCAACGAGCCTCTGAAGTTCTTCCAAGAAACTTTTTGCCATGACTCCTTTCTTCAGCCCCTGGAAGCCCTCAAAGTTGTGATTTTTCCAGTTCATTGCCCATCTTGAGGCGGCGCAACTTGTGCTGCCCTCATTACAGAGGTAGAAGAGGACAAAGAAGATCTTGGTTGTGTTCTCCAAGAATTCTAAACAATAAGCCCCAATGTAAGTGGTGCACGAGTCCACAAAGCCCAGGTATTTTGATTTGTCACCATCAAAGTAGGGAGAGTTGGCAGCAAGGGTGACGCAGTGTCCTGACATGGTACAAGCAGGTATGGTAGTTGGAGGTGTGGGTGGTTGTTTGGAGGGCAGTTCTTTGATGCCAGGGAACTCGTCTTCAGGCGGCGGGAGGGTGAGGTAGGGATTGGAGGGCCCAGGTTGGTTTTGATGCGCCAGATCGGGCAACGATGGTATGATGGGGGGAGAAGACAGACTCCCAAATGACGATGGGAATTGGTACAAAACGGTGGATTTGTGTGCTGTACAAGCACTCGAGGAGAGGTTCTTTTGCTATCAAAAAGATCCTGGGCCTAGCTCTTCACGTGCCCAATGATCCCGAGGTGTGTTTTCCCAAAGGTTTTCGCAGCACTCCTTGTAGCTACCATAAGGCTTGGGTTGGGCTCAACATTACCTGTGGCCTGGTGCTGTTTGCTCGATATGAACCCTTCACTGCAATTGCAGCGAACAACTAGATGATTTGGTAGAAGGGTGAAGAGGATATAGCGGGCATAGCGGTGGGGGAATGCAGCAGTAAGAGGTACAAGGTAGGAGGGTATGAGGGGAGTCTTCAAATTATGTGACAATCAACCCAAAAACAAAGTCAAAAAGAGAAGTGAATTTGAAGACTGGAGAATACAACAAAGTAGCTACAGTATTTATACCCAAATCCAGTCTGAGTCATATCTACAACTAATGAGTCATAAGACTATGTACCGCATGGAGCACTGGTCATGGGTTGTAGTGGAACCTTCTGGAGCATATGTTGTGCAGCCTTGAATCAATAGAGATAACCCCCATGAGCCCCTAATCTGGACCATGTGATGCCATGATCTGTGATAAGATAACCCATGTTGAGATAAGATAAGATCATTGATGATAAGATGAAAAAGTGGTCAAACTATAACAATTAACTGGCACTGTGGGGGGACTTATTTTTATTCCGTGGAAAATGTGTGACAATCTAGAAGTCCAATTTTCACTGTTCTGTTTTCAGATAAAAAATATATATTGAAATTAGACGTCAGTTTACAGCTCAATTCTTACCATGAATAAACATCTATTCCTCCTGAAAACAGAACTGTAAATAGATCATCTTTTTTTTAATCGATTCTCACTGGGAATAGACATCGATTTTCACTAAAAATAGAAACAAAAAAGATGATCTTTTCACTGAAAACAGATGAAAACCACTAGAAGAATCTGTTGGTTCTGGCCCCAATTTGCATTCCTGGCCCTGCAAAATGCTACTGAATGCTTCTCACAACATGTTGGAATCATGCTGCAGGACTTGTGATGTGAATTGGGGCTGGAATGAACAGATCCTTCTAGTGGTTTTCATCTGTTTTCAGTGAAAAAAGATCGCCTTTTTTGTTTCTATTTTCAGTGAAAATCGACGTCTATTCCCAGTGAGAATCAATTAAAAAAAGATGATCTTGTAACAGTTCTGTTTTTGGGAGGAATAGATGTCTACTCGTGGTAAAAGTCGAGCTGTAAATCAACGTGTATTTTCAATATATATATATTTTTTCTGAAAACAGAACAGTGAAAATCAGACTTCTAGCTTGTCACGTATTTTCCACGCAAAAAAATGAAGTCTCCCCGCAGTGTGGCGGCCTTTTTGACCACCACGGCTCGACCGCTGAATCCTGATCATTGAGCGGACCTGGCCGAAATTGAAACCCCATCATTATCGCGATCCCGTGGCTGTGTGACATTTATTGAAGCCTGATCCCGTCATTTCTTTTTCTTAGACGCTATCGTGTGGCGGTCAAATGGACGGAACCAGATTCCACCAGAACTTCTTGACACGTCCTACTTGTACATTTCCGTGGTTGCGCCTTGGGAGGCAAACGCAAAACGTGCAACAAGATTGATTGGATTCGAGTTGCCAACCGACATCTCCAGGCACAACACTTGCAGTAGCTTGGATTAATCCTGTAGCCAAATAGACACATAATCCTGCAGCCTAATAGAATCACCTTAAGCTCAGATTAACAGCCTGGCAGGATTATTGTGCAAGATTTTGAAGGTCCTCGGATTATCGAAGATATGAATGTATAAGATTAGGTAATCGTCAACGATCAGGATCAAGGGTGCAGCCGGATTATGCAGAATGCAGGATTATGAACATGTCTACGTCGATGAACAGGATTATGGGTGCAGCCGTATTATGCAGAATGCAGGATTATGAACATGTCTACGTCGACAAACAGGATTATGAGTGCAGCCGGATTATGCAGAATGCAGGCAGGATTGAGAACATGTACACGTCGACAAACAGGATTATGAGTGCAGCCGGATTATGCAGAATGCAGGCAGGATTATGAACATGTATACATCAACGAACAGGATTATGAGTGCAGCCGGATTATGCAGAACGCAGGATAATGACAGGATTATAAACAGATGGTATTACTGAATGTACAAAATCAGGTATTCGTCGACGAATAGGATTACGGATGACCACCGTCGAGGATGCCCCATGATTGCCTACGTGCCAATGTACCTGGCGTGATTGGCTGTGTTCGTCGTAGCCGCTCTGTCCAGCACCAACTCATAATCTTGGTCTTCCCAGCTCAGGCCATCCGGAAGAGGGCTCCCTATCGGGTAGAAGTACCGCACCCCTCCTCGCAACTCGACCATCCGTCCCTGAACCATTTCGTCCACGACCTTCGGATGCGTTGAGCGTGAGTGACGCGGTGACTTGTCGGAAACAACTGCCGCTTTGGGGGCCGCAGCACGTCGGCGTTTCGTGGGTGTCCTGGGGATAGCTGTATCCAATTTGGTCTTCTTCGAGCGCCCGTTTGCACTAGACTTCTTCGCCTTCCCCTTGCGTTTCTGACCGACCTCAGAGTTGTCGTTGGTCTCTAGTTCCTCCTCGGGGCCCTGGCTCGTGCTTGGTGATGCTGACCCGCCATGCACATGATCCGGCAGGATAGGTCCAAACCCTGCCTGGCTCTCCTTTGCAGGCGACGGAGGTGAGACAGCCGGACCAGACGCAATAGTGGGCGCAGCTGGTGTCGCGACTACATGCTCACCATGCGGATTGAAAGACGGAGACGTAACGCCCGCGACGTAACCCGGTGTGCGATGTGCGTTGCTCCCAGTGAGGTCAGTCGCAGCCGCAAGAGTGAGGTTGCAGTCCATCGATGTTGCTGAAACAGCATGGGGTCCAGAAGGAGGCTCGTTTGGAGGCAAAAGTAGCCCGGACGTCGGCGTAGGTGGGACGGATGACACAGCTGACACAGCGCCGCGCTGAACGTCGAGCAACGAGTTCGATGGCAAGGGTCCTGCGAGACAACCAGACGACTCTCCACCGGCCCCCAGACCCTCGGTGCTTTCCAACGTCAACGGATCCCAATCCTCAGGGAAGCCCATCGGTATATCATCTTGCACCGCTCCGAAGTCCATTCCAAGACCGTGGAACACATCGCTGTTGTCCCTCATACGGTCCGAAACCTGCCCCTGTTCCAGCGAAGGGAATGTGTACTGCCAAGGTGTGTAGTTGCCGGGAGTCGATGCTAGCGCACGATCTGCAAAGAGAGTTGTAGTGGAATGCTGCCCAGGTAGAGGCGAAACAGCTGTGCTCGAGGAAAGAGATGATGTCCCTGCGTCTTGTCTTGCAGTATCATTACTCTCGAGCACCACGGGAGTCTCGGCAAAGCCTGTATCCGCACCCTTGTTGGGAAACAGGAAGGGAGTGACCCCGGCCTGCTCAGAGACAGGGTCGTCCACGAACACATCCTCTTTGGTGATGAACATCGCTTCTTCCCTCTTTGTGTTGGGCCGTTGTAGTTTCTGCTCTGTAAAGTTTATGAGTCAATCAGCCTGAGCCCTAGCAGTATCCACTTACGACCGAGTTGCTCTCTAGACCACACTTTGAACAATAGTGCATCGGCTTCTGTCCCAACAAACATCTTCGCCTCAGTTGGGTAGCGGACCGAAGAGCTTCTGCGCAAGAGTCAATGTCACAGTCGGAAACCAGCCTCAGCGCAGCATACCTGATGTGAGTCACCTTGCCGTCTGGTCGTTCCACCGCAATACGGATGTCCATGACGATGTTTCCGGCCTGGCCGGCAGCAAAGCCACGTTGTTTCCGTGCATAGTGTAGTATCTTGCCCATCAGGGAATTCTGATTACTGCAGAGACCGTCAGTTTCGATAAACTCCCACTGTTGTAACGCACTCAATCAGACTATCAGTACTTGGCTCCTGCTTCTTCTGCGACGTCAGCACTTCAGCTTCTCTGGCGAAATGTGCTTGTTCCTCCTCAGTCAGCTTCTCGTAAAGCTCCGTCCCAGCAGCCTGCCAGTGTTTCAGATGCTGCCCATCTCCATGTTGTACCTCAGCCTCCATCTCGTCCATTCTCTGCCGTTTCAGTTTGGCGATCCCAGCCCGAGCAGCGTCAGATCTGAGAAAGGCATCCTTGGCCGTGACTTTGCGGATCCGCGGAACAGGTCCAGCCGTCGGTGTTCCGTGTGTTGTAGCCGTCGTACCTTCTACCTTAAGCAGCTCGCGTATCTTGTTATTGATTGCCTTGCTTATTGCCTGAGTGTGTGAGCTCGCAACACTTACATGATGGCTTGAGCGCACGACATACCAGTGTGAAGTCGCCCACAACGAAGCCATCAGGTCTGCTGATGCCGAATCGGTCGTTGAGGTCAGCGAAGACTTCCTCAGCAATGAACTCATGCCGTGTGCGCTTGTCGTTTGCACGGTCCGATGCTTCCCATGCCCGGATTTGAGGAATGCTCGTCGTAATCACATGATTCCAAATTCCGTCGACTCTGGCTTTGAGCTGTGGACGCGCAGCCAACAAAGCTGGCCCCTCCGTTCTACTGCGCAGCTTTGACCACAGTCTCGTTGGTTCCGACGCTGAGTCGACAATGGCAGTAGTCTCATGATCACTGGCCGTGATTGGCGCGGTGGCAGCCTGCAAGGTGTCGTGGGCCGGCGTGGAATCAAGAGGCGGACTGGACATGGATGGAGAGGTTCGTTCTGCAAGAGGGGGTGAAGTGGTCAGAAAGTCGGAAACAGCGCATG